CCTAATTTTGCCGAAATATAGAATACTATAGAAAACATAGGTAGTATATGCTTGTGTCCCTTCAATAATACGTCTGATGACTTTTTTTTTTTTGCTTGTCGAGGAAATTTTGGTAGTTGATAGTGAGCCCAGCTGAAGAAATGTGACTGTGTCCCCCCCCCCCCCTTCCAACTGAAATTGCTTCCTGCAAGCCCGAAGTAAGAAGACTTCTACTAGGTTCCTGTCTCCTGATGGACAATACATACCGACAAACATCTCGTGGTAGTATTGAATGATGCTATCAATACAGACCATTGAAAAGATTTCATACATGTATTTACACGCAGTTGAAAAATGTAAGAGTTTGTTTATTGCATTCTACATTACAACTTGTTATTTAAAGCTTTAAGAGGTCCCATATATAGGTACCAGATTTATTGTCGTCTAACCAAATACCAATGGCAATTCCATGTACGTGCATCAGTGTTCAATTCTGTCCAGACCCTATCCCTCCGCTGGAATTTGCAAAGTTGATAAATGTATATACTAAGCCAATTAAAAGTGAGCATAGACCCCTTCCTATAAATGCAGATCCCTCATTGAAAATGTGGATCTATGTGAAATTGGTAGTAAAAGTCATAAAAGATATAGAAATGAAGCTTTAAAAGTCAACGACTAACTCCCCCCCCCCCACACACACACACACGTTTTTTTAGCCTGTCAAGAAATTTTCCGGTTGAAAAATTATTTTTTTCGACCGGGGTTCCCCACCCCTGGAAATTTTCCTGGATCGATGCCTGCATTAATTATAAATAATATGATGTAATCCCTCTTAATTTGTACATGATTTTTGTTACCCGGATTCATACGCGGATCTACAGGAAGGGGGTCGGGGGGATTTTCAAGGTTATTAAATGTATATACTAAAGCAAGAAAAAAAGTTACCTTGGACCCCCTCTGGAAACGCAGACCCCCCGCCTGGAAAACGCGAAATTGTGTAAAATGGGTATGAAAAGTGAAAGATTTCAGGCAATACCCCCCCCCCCCCTACGAAATTGGCTTTTTATGTTTTGGCGAGTTTAGTTTTTTTTCCTGGGTTGGATTTTTTTTGTTTCGACTGGGGTGGACCCCCCCCCCCCCCCCCTGGAAATAATTTCTGAATTTGCGGATTTGTGTTATCAGTTTCAAATTATTAGTATTCATGTATTTCCATATGAGTTTTACTTGATAAGTATTTTAATTAAATCACTGCACCCGATATTACAATCACATCACTAAGAAATACGTGAAAACTGGAGGACTCCTTATCTAACTACAGTCGACTTAAAAAAAAAACTTTTTTACGGAATACATGTAGCTATACATGTATTTGAGCAGACCTTTACGCATCTGACTTTGAACTCGAACAGGAAATTAGATTCTAATGAAAACTGAAAGGGAAAAAAGTAAATTACATGTTGAGCAGCTTATTAACGCATCCGACTTTTTAATTATTAAATATCTCCATGGTCAAATCTGTATCACATCCTGTATGTATATATCTAGCCGAGATCCCTAAAATTAAATTTCAAAGACTGTTGTACATAAAATATTTACAATGATCGAAGGAGAGCGGACTCTGTGTGAACAGATTGATAGGGTGAACAGACCCAATACCATGCAAGTATGAGTCCGAGGGAGGGATCGAGGCCCCAGGCCTAATATTGTTCGAGGTTTGATATAATAATGGGTTGTGATATAAATTTTGACACATATTATTCTTTTGATTTTAAATTTGAAAATACGTATACATGTAAATAATCATGAATTTATTATTCCGAATATGTGCACTTTTGATAATTAAGCATCTGCATGCTTGAGTTTCTGTTTCGCACCACTTCATCTAATATATGCGATTCATGTATTAAATGTGTGATAAAAAATAAAAGAATTAGACATTTTTATAACGATACATTTGAGATATTTTATGTTAAGCAGTTGACAATATGAAAGATCCAAGGTGAAAGTGGGTATCCTTCCTACTGTCTTGGTTTAGAAGAATAAGTTGTTTTTGTTTTTTGTTTTGCCAACCTTACCCCCTTTATTTAAAAAGACCTGTTGCTTAACTTGAGTGCAAGTGGTCATCTACAGAAGATACAGGGAATATTTTTTAAAGTCATATTACTTAGAAATGATATTAATATTTTTTTCATTTTAATCCCTGGTGAAAATAGCGTTGTTTCGAGAGAGAGAGAGAAAAAAATTGAAAATGCATACTCGTGACGGTAGCACGTTTTTCATGTCTTATGCATTGTACGGTTGCCTCTCGTAAATTACATATGTGTAGAATTGATTATGTGTTCGTTCATATATTCAATAAAAACAATATAACCCTTTTGGATAGAATCTTTTAAATCTGAAATCTCCCACTCTAGATCGGCGCATATACATGTACAGAAGGTTCAATAATTCGTCACATATATCATGATGTCTTGGTTCTTGAAATGTTTTCAACTGTAAATATACAGAAATGTCGAAGACATTCTTGGTAATTTTTAAAACGCTAATTGGTATGCTCCTGTTTTTTATTTAGCCAATTTATAATACCGATATTTGTTATGTTTGGCGATGCAGATGTCATGAAATTATTTGCGTTTTTAATCGCCAAACATTTAATTTCAATTGATTTATTGGACCTTTGTGCTGGTAGTTTTATCTGTTGTAGGCTGTTTCAGAAGTAATATCCCTTTGATTACATAGTGACCATGGCGACGAGGCGTTGGGATCGAGTTGTAAACAGGAATTTACCAAAAAAAAAAAAAAAAAAAATGCAAAAAGAGTATATATTAAAAAAAAAAAACATATTAGAAATATAATAAATTGAATCTAAATATTTCAAGAAAAAGTCTTGGGTCAGAACCACGGTACGGGTACAAAGAAGTCGACAATACTACATGCTGTTATATTTTGTAAAGCACATGGTTTTCGTTTTCCTTTTTCCTACCACAACACAAAATCCATTATACAAGACAATTCATTTTGATACATTTTTAAAGTAGAAAGCACAAAAATTATTATTTTTGGTATTATCATGGAATATTTCCGAAAATCTGCTGTGGTGGTCGGTTTTCAGAGGTTTGATATGGAAAGAAAAGTTAAGTTTTCGATGTGGCCACACGTGACAAACAAAATAAAAATATGCCCTATGTATTTACTTTTTTATCCTCTTTTTAATGACATAAATTTCATTTTGTTTATAGGGTGTGACCAAAGTCAAATTTTGAGTTAAAGATGTAAAAAATGGTTGATTTTGTTAAAAATCAGCAAAGTGCACGTGTTTAGACGTTTACTGTACAAATATTACGTCATCAAATGAAAAATGTGACGCGGACCTTTTGAGCTCAAGACTAGTAGATAATAATATATTCATCATTTTTTTCTCTTTTACTTCCGTTAAAATTTCCTTAAAAATGTAGGCCGATTTTGCACCTTCGTGGCTTTACTTCTTTGCCCAGAGAGATTTTTGTTTAAGATATTATACTGTTTACTTTGAATTTGCCCCGTTTTAAATTTGCCCACTTCCGATGAGGGCAAAAGGGGCGAAAATAAAATGGGGCAAAAATTTCCCTGTATACAGTATTCAACTGTCATTCATTTTGTAAGGCTCAACATTAGTCCAGTGGCGGATTTAAGGGGGGGGGGCGCACCCGGCGCGTGCCCCCCTAAAATTGTCAAAGTTAACGTAAATCACAGTTTCGTCTAGAAAATGTTAATATGTCTACTTGGTAGACCTCATTTTTACCCTACAAAATCTCTAGAACCCAGAAGCTTTGCCCTGGATCCACTGGGGTCCTCAAGGCGGCCCCCAGACCCCTTGCCTACTTTTGGCGCCCCCTCTAACTTCAATTCCTGGATCCGCGCCTGATTACATATTTTAAACATTTTCATCTTCACTGAAACCATTGAATCAATTTCAAAAACTTTGGTACGTAGCATATCTGATTAATACGATTTCTTGGAAAGATCAAAAGTAATGTGGTCTTCCAAAAATAAAAATGCCACTTGTTTCCGACTGCGATGGAACCAAGTTGGTCATAACTGAAAATGAATAATTGAAAAATTCATTATTTACACATACACCTTAATATGAAATCTTTCTCACAGATATCTAATATTTTAAATCGGTGTTGCATGATCATAGTGTCTTGCTGTGAGTTGTCAACCATTTGCCAAAATTTTAAAATGGTTTAATTAGGCCCTAAGGTGGGCCTTGGTGCATGCTCATATTAAGATATTAGTACATGGATCTATTTTATCTACATGTACTCAATTAAATAGTCAAAAGTTACATTATCTTAATGAACATATAGCTCTCTACCAAAATTATTGAAATTTATGCCCCCCCCCCCCTCGGAAAATGTTAATGCTTCTTGGGTCCTTCATTTGGGTAGGTCGGGGAAGTTGGATATGTATACTCCTTTGACTCATGACATATGCCATAGTGGCAGTCAAACTTTGGTATGATTTTTAGGACTAACCCTTTCCAAGAAATGTGAAATTTATGGTACCACTACCAGAGGTTTTGGACTGAGATGGTCTTATATTGAAGGTAATTTATATTGCTGAGAATCTTCATTAATTATGGACATGTAGCATGCAGACTTATTTGCATGATCTTAATAAGCCTTTGGCTCTCGTTTCCTTGGGGACAGATTGGGTCACAGGGTAGTGATATATGTAAATTGAAATTTATTATACCTTGTACCTCATCTTTATTTCTGGACTTCAAGGAGGCATTACCTGCATTGATTTTGATAATGACTACAATCTCAATCAATGTGTAAAAGATTTGTCTTAAATTTCAGAGTAGTTCCAGGTGGGTCAAAGGTCATAGTTGAAGATAATACTAGTATACTGGTGACCTTCACGGCCCATGGGCCTCTTGCATTGTGAATTCTTTTGGCTGCCAATTCACTCGAATTAAATTTGTTGTCAGTATTCAATGAACTAATAATGGATAAATATGTATTTTTAAAAAATAACTAAAGTAAACATGTTTCATCCCAAATCTTATATAGCCTCTCTGGTGCCAGGCCATGTACTGTGAATATATACGGTGTCTTGTACCAGCAAGAGTGCTTTGATGGAGGGTTGTAGTGGTAAAACCATTTTATCCTCGTCGTGTGTAGTTTTAACTGTTCTAAACAAAGGCCAATATATACATCCTCAAGTGGAAAGAACGGAACATTTTCCGCGATTTCGTGGATCTTTTTGACCACCTTGAATGACGTCACGTACCCAGTTCCACTGCAAAATGGCGGGAAAACTTCTCTGTTGTATAAACGTTCTGATATGTAATACTTAGACTTTGGGTCTCTGTGAGGCTTTTCCTTCTTCATACAATAACCTCCGATATGTGTTTCGAAGATCCGCCCATACTTTGGCAGCAAAATGGACAAAGTATTTGGCACATGGACCCACATATCGTCATCAGTTTTCATGACGAATTTAGTCGTTGGACAGGTTTCTGTTGTCCATTTGATACCCATACGTGTCTTCAACGTAAGATTCCAGTAGCTGTCACGGAACGTTCCTTGAATTATGTCATGATTTCTTTCATTTTCCTCATAGATCATATCGTTGATAGAACCCCTTGTAGATAAACCCAACAAAAAGACATACTTCACCAAACCCTGTTGAGTTTCAGTAACATTTAACCACGTTCTCCGCAAAGCGTTACGTTGATCGAATCCTTCGGGTGCCGATGCTATAAGAAAAAGAAGGTGAGTGGAATTGGTGCATATACCAGGATTTTCGATAACATAGTCGTACGTGTATTTAAAGCAACCATTGCACGTTAGGTTCCTGGTTGGAACCAATGGCGTATTGCGTTGGTAGGCAGTTATGTCCATTAATGCAGTGCTCCGAGAATCAAGCACATTATCTCCTCGTGCATTTCCTTCATCACCCAAACCCTGCAATGGATAGTTTTTCCTGATTTGGTCCAAACCGAAATTTTGGATATGAATGAGGGAAATGTTGGTTCCTAGAAATGGATTTATTATTACAATAGCACGAGATTTTAAATACTGATGTGTGATAGTAAACACAGCAAACAAAATGAAGTTGATGATCACAGCTACCAGCAGTCCGTATTGCAGATAGGTACCAATCGTTGTTTTAGCTCTCAAATGTAGCATATTTTTCAAAAATTCCTGAAGCAAAAAGGAAGTTGGTTAGGTAAATCCATAGATATATCAGGCCACGAATATGTATTGTCACTAAAATTCACCAGAAGTGACTGATAAAAGACGGGTTAACAGATAAAGGTCAGTCAGATGGATCAGCAAAATGGTCACAATTGTAGAACTCTACAAGGTTCTTGTAGACAAATGTGCCAGAAAAGAACAAGGTTGAAAATTTTCTGATACAGAAATTATCGCAAGTATTAAGTATATTGGGAAATTATTAAAATTTAAGACAAAATCAATGTTAATTCACAAAAAATGTAAAAGTATTGCATGATACTTTTAAAAATTCATATGCTGTAGGAAAGAATTTTTACACGGTCATATATTGTACATCAATATTGGAGGTGGGTGGGGGGGGGGGGGTTAAATTGAAAAAAAATCTAAATCCCGTACGGATATCATAATTTTTGGGAAATGCTAGTAAATAGCCTGTGGTAGAGATGTGCAGTTTTTTGCCATATGTTTATTTTTGTGATTTCATTTCTTAATATAATGTCAGTGCAAAGAAAGGTTCCTGTAAAGTCAAGCTCAATCTATATAGTGTTGATTCGAGTCAATAAATACTGGTATCTTATTGGTTTTGTCAATCATCAATTCAATAAGAAGCACACTTTTTTCCATATTAAGTAAGAACGAAAAACGTTTCAGTTTATCAAGTAACGGACGGACCAAAAAATTAGTTACAAGAAAAAATTATTGAAAAAGGGTAAATATGATTTGCCTTCATAGCATTAAGAGTAAAATAAGTGATAAGTTTTGTTCTGAGAGAAAATATCATACTTTTGAAAATGAGAGTGAAATGGACTTTATATCAACGGATGACAACCAAATGAAATCTTTATTCAAAGAGGAAAATAGTAACACTGCTGACGGTAAAATAACGGTCTGGCAGGCCGGGTGGAATATCACCAATGCGATCCAGGTTAGTCTTGCTACCGTTAAATACTATCACCATGATCACTTGAGTTCTTTTTTCCCCTCGACCCTCTCATTTCAACATCAAATATCTCTAAAAAAAATTCTAAATATCTTGCATACTTTTTGTTTATGAATTTCTAGGGGATGTTTATAGTAAGTTTCCCGTACGCTCTTCGACAAGGCGGATACTGGACTCTTCTAGCGATCCCCATGGTGGCCGTCATCTGTACTCATACCAGCAAGATCATAGTAAAATGTCTGTACGAAGAAGATTCTTGTGGCAACCAGATTAGAGTTCGCAACAGCTATGCTGACATCGCTGAAAGAGTCTGGGGGGCTAAGTTCGGAAGACGTCTGCTAATTTTTGCACAAGTAATAGAACTCTCCATGACCTGTATCCTTTATATTCTTGTTAGTGGAGAGCTTCTTCATGGTTGCTTCCGGTCACGTGACGTGAGTCTTGCCACGTGGACAATCCTCAGTACCGTGCCACTTCTTCCTTGTGTGTTTTTACGAAGTATTCGATGTGTGTCCAACCTGAGCTTCTGGTGCACTGTAACTCATATGATAATAAACGCAATCATCATAGTATATTGCTTAACTCAAGTGTCCCATTGGCACTGGGACCAAATGCCAGTGAAGATCAACATTTGGGAGTTTCCAATCTCTCTTGGGATTGTTGTTTTTAGTTACACTTCACAAATATTTGCACCAACGTTAGAAGGCAGCATGAAAAATCCCAAACGATTCACACAGATGTTATACTGGACTCACATCGCTGCTGCCATCTTTAAAAGCGTGTTCGCATACGTTTGCTTCTTAACCTGGGGAAGAGAAACGATGGAGGTTATCACCAACAATTTAACACAGCCTGGATTCAAAATCACTATAGACCTCATACTGGTTCTAAAAGCTCTACTTTCGTTCCCACTTCCGTACTTTTCAACTGTTGAAATAATTGAACAAGAATGCTTCAATTTGAAGAATCGTTTTTCGTCATTTTCTGGGGATCAACACGCGTTAAAACCGTGGACTGTTGTCTTACGATTCTTTCTTGTCATTGGTATTATGCTGCTAGCCGTGTTCTTACCACATTTTTCAATACTTATGGGATTGGTCGGGAGTTTTACGGGTACGATGCTGTCTTTTGTATGGCCATGTTACTTCTATCTCCGAATTCATGGTAGTAAATTGCTCTGGTACGACAAGTTAGTGAATTGGATTGTCATTGTGCTTGGGGTTGCTATTGGTGGAATCGGCATGTACTATTCTGGAATCGCACTTCATCACGCAATGGACCATCAATCCAGAGCAACAACTTTCAACAGTACATTAATGGGTGTGGAATAAATAGCCCTGGCAACAAATGTGCCGCAATAGATCTTGCAAGTTTTGATCAGATACGAGTTGAGGAATTAGCTGATGGTGATAATATTTGTATCTAATTGATCCATAGATTAAAAAAAATGTTACTGTACTGTAGTCTAGATGTCTCTTTGTCTCCACCCATCATTCAACTTAAACTTCGCAAATTTGCTACAAGTTATCGAGAATAATTAAAGCAGTGAACTCATTTTTGTAAGTTAATATACTGTACCTATACTAAAGCTGCAATTGACAATTAATATTAGTTGATCTATGTAATGACCTTCACGTTAGGTTATAAATATGCTATAAACTTTAGAGGAGGAGAACATTCCAGCCTCTATTTCTCTTGCTGCAAAGGAGAATATAGTCCGAAAAAGATTTTTCGGACTAAGGAGAATACAGATTGTATGTACAATTACGGCGTTCCACTTTTTACCTGTTGCACGCGTGGCGGATTTGTAACCTACGGTATTCTAACAAAGTGACTGGCTTTAGAATATATTATAAAATTCCTGACTTGGCAACAACTTTGATTTGGAGAAAAACTTTCCAAGATTATAATAGGCGACCGCACAAAGTCTGTTTGAAACAGCCACGTAGCATCGTTTTTGAAAGTGGGGGCCAGCCAGAGAAATTTTTTTTGACTTACCTGAAAAGGTTGACAAGCAAAAAAAAAAAAAAATGGGGGGGGGGCAGCCCCCCCCCCCCCCCCCCCCCGTGTTGCTACGTGCCTGTGAAACAACATCATCTAAGTACTGGTTGTGATCTAATATATAAAGCGGACAGTGTGGCAAAGTCATTGGTTGAAGTAAAACCAGGTTACAGCAAATATTTCATAAATAGAGGTGTTCATGGAAACGGTATTATTTTACTATAAATATCTGAATTGAACGATTTAGCCTTATCTTTCGTTGTCGTTTCAAGAACACACCAGGTTAGGATGACTCCATATCAATATAGCATACAACTTTGTTGTTCTTTAGCTAAAAGATTGTTTTAAAGATTTTCTTCCTATATACTAGTATTACTTTGTAAAACTTTGATTCCCCATTGTTGCCCCCCCCCTACCCCAAGGGGTCAATATTTGAAAAAAAATTAAATGTTCACTATATGAGGATGCTAACATGTTAATAAGACTTAACATAGCTCTTTGCTCTTGAGATTTTTTTACTCCGTTTTCGTATGTAAAACTTTGATCCACCATCGTTGCCCCATCCTTACCTTCGGATTATGATTTGAACAAACTTGAATCTACCCTACCTGAGGATGCTTCCATTTAAATATCACTAAATCATAGCTAGGCTATTCTTGAGATTTATTCAGACAGATTTGTTAAGTATATTTCTATGTAAAACTTTGTGGCCCCACCCTACCCCCAGGGGTCACGATTTGAACAAAATTGAATCTTCACCACCTAAGAATGATTCCATACGAGTTTAATCTTTCTAAGCCCAGTGGTTCTTGAGAAGAAGATTTTTTCTGTATATTCCTATGTAAAACAAGCAAATTCAAAGAATTGTGGTCCCCCGCTTTCAGTGTCTTTGTGGATGAGATGTCATTTTTTATGACACATTGTGTCTAATATGAAAACCCTATCATATGTCATTTATTTAGAAATTATCACTGAAGTTGATTTTTAAAAAAAAATAATGTCAATTGTCAAGGTCAAGGTCAAGGGGTAAGAATTCATAGCATGCTCGGAAATATCTTGTCACAGGTAATGCACATGTCCAATATGAAAGTCCTATCTCTTCTCAATATAAGGAACAAGATGTGTTTGTGAAACACAGATGACCTCGTATGGCAACATAACAAAGATTTAACATTTCTTAATTCAAATGAAATATATTTGATATTACCCAAAGTAGGGTTTTCAGACAAGAAATACGATTGTGAAATACAAAATCCCACCCCCCTGTTCAAAAGAAAGTTATGGCCAAGGATACAGTTTATTCACAAGGTGAAAGGATCTGAGTTGTTGATTTCTTTAAAAGGGTCACAAGTAATACATATGTGAAGGATGAAAACCCTAACCAACTGTTTAGTTACAAAATGATAACATTGATTACAATTCTATATTAAGGATACATATGTGAAACATGACAAATGTTATGTGACTTTTTTTTTAAGTTTGTCAAAACATTGGTATCCAATGAAGGTGCCACAAAAAATACACCACACTCAAAAGATATGGTCAAAAGCATAGAAACCATAGAATGATAAAAAAAACACAATTAAATAAAATTATTATGTTTATTATAAGGTAAATTATTACAAAATGATAACATTGATTACAATTCTATATTAAGGATAATGTAACATGACTTGTGATTAAAAAAAAAAAATAATAAAAAATATAAGGTAAATAAAAAAAAAAAAAAAAAAAAAAAAAAAAAAAAAATCTTGTAGTAATGGCAGTACTCTAATATAAAACTAGTGCATCTTGAATACAAAGGGCACCAGGGGATGATACCTCTACACAGCCAGTCTGGCAAACCTGTACCCTAAGTATTGAAGATGGTCATTCAAAAAAAAAAAAAAAAAAAAAAAAAAAAAAAAAATCATTTAAGTATTAACAGAAATAGTAATTTCAATTAATAAGTACTTAGCATATAATTAGAAACTTAATGCAAACCAATCTCTTGGAGTTAGTTCAATAGATA